TTTAGGCTCTGTTTCTGCCAGTTTTCTATGCTCCCATTACTAGAAAATTTCCAATAATAAATCTTTAATGATAATGACCCCCAAAAAAACCCAGAAAATAGAGGTAAACACAAACCATCCCAGGAATTTTTCCTGCAATTATGATATAAAGGCCCAGTTACTTTTTAAAAAGAGACCAGCAATCAACAGCCTGACGAGATCAAAGAGTGCCCTTCCACACAATAACTAAAAATAAAAACGGTGAAAAGCAACAAAAAATTCCCACAGCACTTTAACTTTTTAAAGTTCTTTAATATAAGCATCATTTATCTCTTTTGACCTTAACAATAAACCTGCAAAATAGATAGAAGATAAAGTGCCATTTCTTAAAGAAAAATAACACAGAAGTCACAAAACTAGTTAATGGAAGAATCCAAGTCTTCTTTCCAGCCCTATTCTAGTGCTTCTTCCATTAGCATGTTCCCTTCTTATCCAATTTGGTTTAATTATTCAGTATAAAGGAAAAGCTTGCTCATATCTCTCTTATTAGCTCTACAGTTAGAAATACCTGAAATACGGCTCAGTAAAGAGTTACTAAAAAAAAAAAAAAAATTTAAAGAATTACTGACAAATTGTTATTACCCCATGATGGATAGTTCCAAAGAATTTACTTAGTAGGGACTGCTCAAAATGGCTTGAAAGAACCAGAAATTAGGAAATTTCCATCCCATCAAAATCCACTGATGGGGGAAAAGGGAAACATCACACTATGAACCTTAAAAAAAAAATTGTGAGGAGCCGGGGAGATGGCTCAGTGGAATAAGCATTTCCCTGGCAAGCGCAAGGGCCTGAGTTCAGTCCCTGGTTCCGCAAAGAAAAAAAAAAAATTGTGTAGGTACACATATAGATGTGTATATTTTGGAAGGCAAGGATAAAAAGAGCTTTATATATTAGGCAAGAACCTTATTTTCTTTACCTACTTAATGGACTGACATTTATCCCACTATTTAAATATGTCCCAATTTTAACTTAAAGTGCAAACTACAAATACGCCATACAAAATTTGAGAACATCCATCTTGTTAAATGTAAATAATAAAATTTAAAATAACTCAGATTCTGTATTTTCTCATCTATTTTGACCAAGCAAAAGTAGAGCAGTAGACCCTAAGTAGTCTCAGCCATGAGCCCACAATGCTATACCTAGGAAACTTTCAGTTCATCGACTCTCACAGTGAACTCTCAAGAATGTGACAGACTATTTGCTCCAATTACTTGTTCCAGGTAAACACTAGAGTACACATGCAGAATTCCTGGATCAGTACAGGGATGGAAGTAGAGATGTGATCAGCAGCTTTGAGCATACTGTGGTGTCTATTCAGGTCCTATGTCCTTTGCTAGTACAGAAACTTTATGTTCTCACACTGTCTAGTATTTCTTCAGTGGCACCACTGTTCTGCTGTCAACCATGCAATAAGCAACTATACCCAACTTACTTCAAATCATTGGCGCCTTGTCTGAGAAATTATTTCCCACTTAGAGGCTCTTCCTAAAATATCTGAAAGTCTACAGACAAGCCCACACTGCCAATGAAATATCTACACCATTTGGACATATCTCAGAAGAAGATAGAAAAAAATCTTCCAAACCATCACTATGAATGTCCTATGAAGTTGATTTGGAGCACTGCATCATCTTTATAGTCATTCTTTCTGGATAACATAAAACAAAATTTGGAATAGAATTAACATTTACATATCACCTACTGATATGTACTACAAGTTGTGCTACCTACTTTATAAAACCTCTCATTTAATCATAATACCCTTCCAATATTCTCAATATTTTTTTAATAAATTAATAACATAAGATTGAATAATACTGTCACTTGTTCAAGGTCTTATTTTTAAACCTACTATATGGCAGAACCAAAAGTTGACCCCAAGCCAATAAAACATCTTTGACTTGTTCTTATTAATTAGCCTATTTGTTTTCCAACGCAGTTATGACTTATACTGACAACAGAAATAAGAGTATTTCTAATTATATTTTTTAGTGAGAAAAATTACTAACTCTAATGCATAGCAAAGTCTACAAAGGTTACTATGACTGAAACCAATTTAAATGCAGTCATACAATTCCTCTTGTCAGATATCCTAAATTGGCAGTCCATACCAAATCTCTTTTCAACAGTTGGGCCTTGTAAAATAAAAGAACAATTTTTTGTTCAACCATAGCATATTTGCTATGTGGAAGGACAGCAGAACACCACTCAGATTTCAAAACCTATGAGTAATATTTCTACAAATTTTCCAAGAAAAATTTGGGATAGATTTATGTTACATATGTTAGTGTACTTTGAAATAATTAACATTTGAGTTTTGAACTAATAGTGTTTAGACAAGATATCATGTCTGCATCTTGTACTATGAATAATTACTACAAAGACAATATGCAATGTATTAATTATTGTAACTGTCCTACTAACCTGTTTTGAAACTGTCTCATTGCTACTTCTTTCTCAATAAAACTAATAGATAGATAGATAGATAGATAGATAGATAGATTTGAGTTGTACTATAAAACGAAGAATTCTGGGCCACAAAGATAGCTCAGCAGTCTAAGCGCCTGCATAGGCAAGCGCAAGGACCCAGGTTTGATCCCTGGTATCACCTGCTGTGCTGCCCCCTCCCTAGGCACACCAAGCTGGCCACCATGACCAGGCACCCACCTGTAATCCTAGTGCTTGGGTGGCAGAAACAGGGGAATCACTATGAGTCCAAACTGCATAGCAAGACCCTGTACCAAATACATAAAATTAAATTTTTATTGTTTTAAATGTATTTAGTACAGGGTGTACAGGGTCTCATAACACAGATTAAATTCATACTGATCCTCCTGTTTTCAACCTCTCACACGCTGGAATTACAGGTACGTGTCACCACGCCCAGTCTCAATCCCTGTCTCAGTGTGTCCCAGGGCGAGGCTGGTACAACACACCAGGGAATCGAACCTGGTCCCTGTGCCTTCCTAAGCAGGTGCTTTAGTCCACTGAGCTATCTGGCCAATCCCCCAAAAATTTAAAAAATTAAGAATTCCAAAACACATAGGCTTCCAGGTTACTGAAAATACTACATAAATGGTGGTGGTGCACACCTGTCATTCCAGCATTCAAGAGGCTGAGGCAGAAGGATCACCACAAGTGTGAGGCCAGCCTCAGATACACAGCGACCTGAAGGTCAACCTGAACTGCATAGCAAGACCCTATCTCAAAAAAACAAAACAAAAAAACCCTTTTATTGTATAACCACATTGACAAGAAAATATGAGTAAATCATAACTATCACTTATACAGTACTTCCTATGTGCCAAATACTTTATAAATATATTTTTATTTTGCATACAAAAGCCTGTTATTATTATCCTTATTTTACTTTTTTTATGTATTTAGTATGGGGTCTACAGAGTCTCACTACAGAGATAGTGCTTGTACTGATCCTCCTGTTTTCAGCCTCCCAAGCATTGGGATTACAGGTGCACACCACCACACTGTCTTATCCTTATTTTATAAGCAAAGAAATACAGCAAGAAATTCATATAATTTGGTCAAGGTAATAGTGCTACAAAGTGCTGGAGCTAGAATTCAAATCCAGGCTGTCTATCTCCAAAACTCATGCTCTTTGCCATCACGGCATGCTGTCCTCCCTATTTATTTGGTAAATATATTCTTGTCCTGAATTCCAAAACCACTACAGACACTCATGTTCACATTTTTAAACCTACTATGCACTCCTTTCATTATTTCGCCAGTTTCTTTTTTTTTTTCCAGAAAGTTGTAGGAATTTATTTTAAATAACCTACAGTTGATTAAAAGAGAATTCATGATAAAAATAGAAGATACCTGAGGAAAGATGTGGGAAATGGACTCTGCACACACTAAACTAACAATGCCTGTAAAATTAATGATTATAGCAAAAAAAGTTTTCACATTAAAATTGTGCTTTTTATGTTTTTTCCCATTGTTTACACAATTACAAAAGAAAAAATAAAAGCCCTAAAATCTTGATTTTTTTTCCTCTGTTGGGCCAAATACTCATTTTCCTCTAACTTTATTTACCCGTGGAACTGTTCATACAATAAAATCTTTCAAGTGAAAGCCTGAGGTTTGAAAAGAAAAAGATGGATATCTTAAAGGGTACAGAGAATGCTCCGAACAAAGAATGATGGGAAAATGGTTTCAGGCATTATTTCACTATCCTTAGAGGCTCACTTGCCCTTCATCCCTCCCCAACCCCACTTTACATGATCTTTATGATCAAGAAAAAGGTTTAAATATTTTAAAATAATAAAAAAGAAATAAAAATTTACATTTAAATAGGAACACTTAATCAGGAAATATTTTCCCATTATGCTTTTCTGCGAACAGGTGTCTGAACCAAAACACTGCCAGTGTCTCAGCTGCTTCAAGAATTTGCCATAGTTTGTAAGGTAAAATTATTAAGATGTATCTGAAGAATTACCACCAGAAAAATTCAAATAAGAGACAACTTTTCATAAAATTCTCAGAGGTCAAAAACAGATAATCCAGAAAACAAAAGTTTTCTCAATGTTTCAGTTATGCATACATTATGAATATAGTAGTGACCAGGAAATCATCTTAAAAAATTCAAATACCTTATCTTAAACAATCTCATTATATTCAGTACTTTATGACTGTACTGCACATTAGATTCTGCTCTTTTATCTAACGCTTTTACTAGCCAAGTAATTTTAACTAGAATAATTTAAATTTTCTGAGTGGCTTTTACCTCCCATGTTCTAGTGTTTCAAATTATGTCTAAAAAAAAGAAAAAAAAAACAAAACCAAGACTAGCATTATCCAAACAAATCCTTCAACCTCTTAGAACATGAATCAAAATATGTAAAATGTTTAATGTACGGTATATAGTTGAAAATAGTATACTGACAGGCAATGTAAGAGTCATTTTTTTAAGATAAGTCAAAGGATAGATTAGATCTTACCTCCATTGCTAAAGCTGCTGTCTGTTGGTCATAATGATTCAGAAGATTAGGCATGAAGGTAGTATTATAAGGCAAATCTTGGCACATCCTCAAGGTAATAGGTTCACAAGAAAATAAACTGTGCCCACCTATATGCCCCACAAACATAGTCAAGAGCCAAAGATAGAAGACGATCCAACTTATAGCCATTCTTCTGAGATCTGGATGACCAGGCCTACTCAATATGTATGTTAGGCCAACATAAAACTGCAGGACTTGGCTTGGAAGTACTTCTGTAATTCACTGTTAAGTTCTTCAAATAGTTAAATACTCTGCACCATCAGAGGTTTGTTAGCTTGGTCTCACAAAAGGCATTTGTTTTTGGTTTCACAATATGGAAAAATGACATCATCTTGTCTCTTCATTTTATTACAGAGGGCACATTTGGCCAACATATCAAGTTGATCAACCACATTCCCAAATCACAGATTCCATCTTAGGAGAACTATTTCTTCCTCTGATTGAAATATCTGAAAAGCATTATTTAAAAAGGGAGAAATTAGTCATTTCTTCTCAAAATACATCATCTTGATATCAAACTTTGATGAAATACCATGCTCACCTAATAGACAAAAAATACACTTCATAAAGATATAGCCTTTCTACTTCACCATTTATGCCACATATACTAATACAGTCCTAATATAGCATTAATTTTGTTTTCTTAGCTTGTGTAACATGTGGTTCAATTCTTGCCTATAATGATAATTTTTCATTTGTCACAAGATATAACTGATCCATTTTTAAAAATTCTTGTTTTTGCCCTAAATTTTATTTAAATACAATTTGTTATAAGCTAAATTATTGAAAATTATTATGTGCTTTAATCATTAATTGTATAGTTTTCACATGACTCAACCTGGCAGAATGCATCTGTGAAAGGTCTAAAAAATAAATCAACATAGACTTGAGCTTCTTACTTACTGTATGAATGTAAACATACCACTTAACTTCTTTAAACCCATAATTTTTGTTCCTAAAATGATTCCAGAAACACCTCTTTCACAGAATAAATAATGTATGGATGAATAAAGATAATATATGGAAAGATACTTTATAATGACAAAACAGTACATTAAGTACTTTTATTACTGAATAATATTTTATAAAAATGCTAACTATAACTAATACTGAAAAATAGAAGGTCCTAAAAGTAGTATCAGGCTGGGTGTGGTGACACCCAGCACTTGAGGCAAGAGGCAAGAGGACCCACTGCAAGTTCAAGGTCAGCTTGGACAACACAGTGAGCTCAAGGCCAGTCTACACTACATAGCAAAATTCTGTGAGCTCAAGGCCAGCCTACACTACATAGCAAAATTCTGTCTCAACAAAAAACAAAAAGGAGTACCAGGCAATTTTGCCATAGATTTAGTCACTGAACCAACAAATGGTCACTGCACACAGGCTGGGCAGAGAATAAAAATAATCTCTAAAAAGTCACAGGAGGAACAGAAATGATTCCATTACTTCCTAGTTACCAATGAGCTTACAATCTCTACTAATTTGTCCCCTACTTTCTTTCTTTTTTTTTTTTTTTTAATATTTATTTATTTTTATTTATTACATTTATTTATTGTGTGTGTGTGTGGCCAGCTCAGCCCACCAGGGGGCGGGGCTGGCTGGCATGTGGTGCTGGGGATCGAACCGTGGTCCCTGTGCTTCGCCAAGCTTGATTCAAGTAGGTGCTTTAGACCACTGAGCCATCTCTCCAGCCCCTGTCCCCTACTTTCATAGGGACAAAAATATGTAATTTTCAATTGGGACATGTGAGTAGAGAAGCACAGGTGTGGTATAAAAAAAGTATATTCTAAGCTATCATTTTTTTATTTGGACTAGAATTCATGTTTACTTTGGTTTTATTAAATTGTTATGTATGCACTAGATATTTTTCTATTTGCTGCAGAAAGCCTAGGTTGAGAAAAGATGAACGATTCAGGTCCACAAATTCTCAGAGACCCAAGTTAACATGATAACTGGCACTCATCATAGCTTAGACCTTGAGACTTAGCAAGCCTGGTCAAACCAGAGAAGGAATCTATTCTTCACACACTGACTGCCACACTGGGACTGCTATATCTTCAATTTCAGTTAGGAGGCAGAAAACTACTTAGAGAAAGTAAAATAGAGGCTAAATCTACCCAAAGTCTAGAAGGCAATCTTGAGTGATAGGAATGAAATGGGAATTTGGACTCTACAATTAGCAACACTAAGGTTACAAGCAACCCCTGCTCAAAAAGTCCAGCTCTCAAAAAAAAAAAAAAATGGCTGGTGAGATGGCTCAGTGGTCTAAAGCACCTACTTAGAACAAGCTTAGCAAAGCACAGGGACCGCGGTTCAATCCCCCAGCACCACATGC